CTCCCATTAGTTCCTAAGTTATTTTCAGTTTCATGCAATTTTAGCGAAATTACGATTACACAAAAATTGAACCAACTTTAAACCCTTATATGTTTTTACTATTTATTCAAAAATGATAATTTTTAAATTTTTTTAAAGCTTAGGATATTGTTATTCATTATGTGTAAGAAAAATTTCAAGTTTAATTATATTTAATTACTAATAGCCAAATAGTTAAACTTTAGAACAAAAACAAATTGGCCTGCGCGCTCCCTGTTTTACACCTATTTCAGGCCTCAGAAACCAGCGAAAAATTACGAAAAATATGACCTTCAATAAACCCCATTTATTTTAACAATAAATTCAATAAGTAATAAAAAAAAGACATTTATAATTTTATAAATATTCTCCTTCTCCTCCTATAATAAGTTCTCCTTGAACATGAATGGATCTATTTCCATTGCTTCTATTTTCGGAAAATAACCTTTATTGTTATTAGTCGGGATTTGAGGGCGTTGCGGATAACGCAGATTATTTTGATGTCTATTAACTTGAGTTAGGTTCGAATTTCTATTAAACATAAGTGCGAAGTTAGTACGTAGTTGGTTTGATTCTTACTCCTGGGCTTTTGCGAAATCGTTTGGAAGGTCTTCTGGAGTCAGAGAAAATAAGACGTTAGACAGGGGAGGATTTAATTCTGTTATAAATATTCGTGTAGCTAACTCACGATGCTTTTTATTTAATTCTGCAGTTAAAGGGTTACTATTACCGTATGTCATTATAATTTTGTTGATCCGCATTGTTAGTTTTTTGTTTGTTTGTTCGTAATAGTAGTCCAAAATTGTCATTGAGCCTTGTCTTAGGACACTTACTTCTTGTTCCATTATATGTATTGGTCGCTTATCTGCGTAAGCGAAGTCTAATCTACTGATTATTGCATCAAAATTCAAAACCGTGCCGTGGTTGGTCAATACGTCGTTAGCGTCATCGGTTATCTTATTTCGAAGAATGGTTAAAGCGGCGAAGTATTTTCTACTACCGCGGGTGTATAGACTAAGAGAAATATTTTCAAAAAATTTTTTAATTAATTTTTTTTAATATAATTCAATAATATAATGTTTAATATTCTCAACAAAAATGTTTTAATACAATTTTATGTTCGTTTTTTTCTTCACGATGGCAATTCAAAAATAATAGTTGATTTGGCTTTTTTTTCATACCAAAAAAAATATTTTCAAACCTAACTTACGTTTCTCCTGATGATGAGGATACTTGATTGCTGGTGATTGGGTTCTATGCTGTCCAGGAATCCTTTTCTTCGGCTCCAGTTGGCAGCAAATGAATAATTTATTTGAATCAGCTGATTATATTAAGTCACTTTCTCGTTAAATTATTTTAATGTCTTCAAATTAGTGTTCGTGACTGTGCGATTTTTTATTATTAAATTTGGCTTATTTGTGACTCAAAATTTTTTGGTTAGTTTTAGTTTTCACCAATTTCGTAGCTTACTTTACAGTTCACCAAATATTTTATTCAAACCGCACTTCGATCACTTTCCGAATAACACTTTTTATCACGGTCCCTGCTCGGGCGCCAATTAATGAGATTAAAAGTCATTAATTAAAAATCATTAATTAATGAGATTAAAGTACAAGGATATAATCTAAGTGAGCAATGCTCCTGCTTTTATATTTATATGATCTGAGTTTACAAATAAAGCTTTTTACTCAAAGCTTGCTAAGATCATAATTTAAAATCAATTTTGTTCTCTACTGTTTTCTCTTACAATTAATTTTGTGTTTTATACTTAACCCTACAAAGTGAGAGCGTGCGATAACATGCGTGTCAAGCTGAAGAAACGCAACAAATTTCATTGCTTGAAATTCATGAACTCACATCACACTCACTTTCTTCTCTCATCTATTGGTAACTGGTTTTCAAGTTCATGTTTATGTTACTTTCATGATAGTGTAAATAGGCCCAATGATATTATTTCAAAATTGCTTCAGAAATAATGTTTTACACACTTAGCTTGAAGAAAATGTAACTGTTTTTTTTTTATAAAAAAATTTGTTTCTACATATGTTTTGTTACCAAAAGCACAGACAAATAATACACAGATTGCGAATACAGAACAAAAAAATTAGTCCCTTTGATTTCATGGTAGCCAGCTAGTTTTGGGTGCTAGTTTGGGTGCTTTTGTGATTTATATGTTGACAATTTTCTGTTTTGCGAACGAGACGAAAGGGCAATCAGTGAAGTGCAATTTTTTGTTTCTATATTTACAAAATTTGATTTCTTTTAGGTTAAGAGGAAATAGAGAGGAAAGGGCGTCCAATAGTAGTTAAACACGAAGAAGGGTTGTTTAGTATTGAATGGACACACAAATTCAAAGAAATAGTCTTTGCTTTTTGTACACATTTTTTCTAAAATATATGATTGACTTTTTTCAAATTATTATAAATTTGATTTTTGATGAAATTGTATACTGGTCTCATACAAATATATGAGGTTTCCCTATTATGAGGTGAGTAAACACCGGCAGTAGCCCAACCATAGTTGTTGTTAGTGCAAATGGTATTATGTGCATTGTAGTAAAGACAGTACTATGACATGTATGTTACTAGCCATGATATCATGAAGTATGTTAATAAACACCATGTTGTTAAATATCTATTTATGTTTTATATTTGAATATACAAATGATTAAATACACAGCAAAACTATGGAAGCATAAGTTCGCAAAACAGAAAATTGTCAACATATAAATCACACAAGCACCCAAAATAGCAATACCCAGCGGCACCATCATGCCAGCGCTGAAAAAATAAGCGAGGAGGTAATAGCTCTTCGTTTTTATTTTTCTTTGTTTTCGACATTTGTGTTCGACATAGACAATTTCGGGGTTGAAATTATAAAAGAATGAAGAAGAAAAGCAAAGGAGTATTAAGAATTTCTTGTTTTGCCTACATTGTATACATTTAGTCTGCTTTTGATTTTAGTGAAGTGTGTGCAGTGAACAATTTTTAATTTTTAAAATCAAAATAAAATCAAAAATATAAATAAAATATAATTTGTAATTTAACATAAACTCACTGTAAGTATATGCAAAATTAAATGAATATATTTAAAATGATAATTGAAATTTTTGTTTTGTATTATGTAGATGCTACTGCGTCAAGAACGATTAATTGACCAATGTGCTGCGAATGCAGTCATTCTAAAGCAAGGGGTAATCAGCTGTAGTCATGTAGTCAGCTGTTTCAATTGGAAAATTTTACAATTCAAACTGAAGAGGATTTAATTCAATTTAATGAAGAAATCACTGCCGTTGAAGTAGTTGTAAGTTAAATTATATATGTTTCTTACTTTCAATTTCAACTTATTAATATATTCACATGTAACAATTTTACTAATTCATACATTTCTTTTCATCTATTACGTTATTTATAGACTGCATCAATGAGACGCGTTATTAAAAAACAACCAATTACGCGAAAAATTTCCTGGAATTTTGGAGAATGGTACCCAAGGCAAGAAGTCCTTAAGAGCGTTAGAGAATGTGACAGCAGCACTTTTTGGTATGGTATATTGTACATAATTAACTTTAGCGTATACAATAACATACTTTTGTATTTACAGATGCTTTAAGTACAGATGGTAAGCCGAAACAAGTGATCGAGTCGAGTCTGGAAATCTCTTCAAGGTTTTAGTAACAATTTCCAGAAAAATATTCATATATATATTTACTTATGTTATATTTTTTTATGTAAATATTAATATTTTAATTGTATAAAACATAAATATAAAATATAATTTATCCAAAAAAATTTATAGTATTTTATTTAAAAATCAATAGCATAGGAAAAATTTAAAAGGTAAGCGAACATGTCAGCGCTGATATGTTGCATTACAAATTCGAAAAGGTAAGCTAACATGTCAGCGCTGATATGTTGCATTACAAATTCGAAAAAGTAAGCGAATATGTCAGCGCTGAAATGTTGCATTACAAATTTGAAAAGGTAATCGAACGATTCAGCGCTTGCCCGCAATGACATGCACGTGTTAAAGTAATTAGGAGTTTCCTTTGAATAATCAGCGCTAGGCATTACCATTCAGCGCTGAGGGAATCGATTCCCGATTATTATTGAATATACATATATTACATGATTAAGCAAACTAAACTAAATTAACTTGATTGATTTAAATGTTTATATATTAATTTATATATATATTTATCACATTTTATTTGTTGCAATAGCCGTCATTTTTTCTTTTAGAGTAGAAAAAAAATAACATTAATTCCGGTTGAAAGATATTGGCAGCACTTTTAAAATATGTTGAACGCTTTTGTCTGACATATGATTTTTGTTGTATAGTGTTCAATATGATATAATACGAACGATATAAATTATGGAACATATTTTCAGTGAACATTCCCGATGGACTGATTTTTGAACTTAGCCGCACTAAAACTTGGTGATTTGATGTTATTATCCAAATAAGGTGCGCACAAGTTTTTCATATTATTAAGAGGTAAACATATGATTAGCAAGTGGTAACAAATTATTAAACCGCAACACCAAAAGAGAGTAATTTAGTGTTATCGTGGTAGGATCAGATGTATTTAGTACGTGTGCCAAAATTTTATAAAAATATCTATTTTCAAAAGCAATTTACTGTGTTACGATCGAAATGGGCGAAGTTACCATTCTTTAATGGGTTTTCTTTGATTGTTTAGTTACGCTTGGAATTACCGTTCTTTGTATTCTTTGATGCAATGCATTGAAACGCACGTGCGCGTTTAGTTATATATTTTAAATTGTAGGAATCTTAAAAACATCTAATGTATCTTTCAGCGAATAAAAGGGTTTTAAAGCGCCAGAATCCTGCTGGTGGAAAAAAGACTGTCAAGAAGAGAAAGCTTGCAAACAGTGAACCTGAATATAACAATCACCATTTCGCACCATCATTAAAACTATCAATTGACACGCGTATATTTCTATATTTCAATGAATTAGTTAATGAAGATTCTAATATACGTGTTAATGCTGCTTTATCCTTAATGCAGCATTTGAGTAAAAAAACTGAAGTTGAAAAGGTATAGATCCTGTTAAATAAAGTAGTTAGTAATATAGTATTTGTTTACAGCGTCAGAAGGAATTATATTATACATTAAAGCGTCTTGTTCGAGGATGTGGAGCATCTACAAATATTTCTCGAGCAGGGTTTTTTACTGCTTTAGTGTTGTTTTTAAAAAAATTTTTAACAGAAATTTCGAATAAAGAAGTTTTTGATGCATTGCAAAATGAGTTAAGAACTGGGACAACTATAGTAAAAAAGGTATGTGCATACATAACAAATGACACTAATGTATCGTAACAAGGATTTATTATAAGCAGAATGATTCAGATGCAGTTGTAGGTAAAATACTGGTGTGTGTAGCTATTATGCATTCAGGTCGAGTTTTTGTTAGTAGTGAGGACGATTTGCAAAAATTAACGCTGTTTCTGCTAAGAGCTACAAAGCATCGAACCTATCACTCTTCGTTGGGATATGGTTTTTTAATAGAATTTTTAAATATGGTAAATTTTCTTGTTCAAAGTAATTTGTAAATTTTAACTTTAATTCGAATTAACAGATAAGCGAAGAACAATTTGAAGTCACAATTTGGCCTTATCTTACCAAAGACATTATAAAACCGTGGACAAAACAAACAATGCAAACTATACATTGTCTTATTTGTGTTCATAAAATTTTTCCAGAAGTAGTAAATGAAAAAATTCTAGAATCAAATTTTGGTGGAAGTGAACTTTTAAATACAGAGAGTTTTCAATATATTTATAAAATATTTTGGGAAAACTGTAATACAAACAATTTAACTGATCCAGTTTATGATGATTTTGGATCCTACATTGCTACACAATCAAAGTTAAATGAGTTTTGGACAGAATATGTAGATAAAGGACTAAATCGTACAACAAAATTTAAAGAAATAGTTACTTTGCGGATAGTTACAGCTATCTTAAAATCGTTAGATATTACTAAGACGAAAATTGAGGATTTGATGAGTGAGAATTTTATGATTTTGTTGATTAAAGGATTAAAAGATGCAAAATATAAAAAGGATGAAACACTTCTAGCATTTTACAAAGATTATTTTGAGGCTTTACTCATTGGTTGTGAGAAAGTGAGCGACAAGCAGAAAGTAGCTGTTATAAAACGTCTAATTGAACCACCAGGAACATTTAATATTGAGAAATTTACACATACTCGTATTATAAATCAACTTGTGAACTCTCTTGGGGAAGCTGGCGTGAAAGAAATCTTTGAAATATTTAAACGAATATTTTTAGGATTGTTTTTTAAAAGCGGTAAAAGTTCCTATGAAGAATTGTTTCATTTTGAACGATCTATTGCCGGTTATATGTTGCAACATTTACTATCACACATTTCTGTTCGTTCATCATTCAAATGGCGGGAGGAGCAATTGCGATTTCTGCTTACTGGAGGCATATTTCATGTAACAAATGAAATGGAAATTTGTAAAATTGAAGATTCTGGGTCGTTTAGTAAGAATTTTGGATATCAGTGTCTAAAAATGTTTTATTCAAGCTTGAACTATAAGTCTAATGTTATGAAAAAAGAAAAAAAACTTCTGCTAAATCTTGTGAATTATTGCAATGAGGTCATACAAAGAAAAAATTCGGATAATTACTTGCGAATCAAAAATATTGATCAATGTTTACAAAAAAGCTGGAGTTACTTGTATAATGCAGTATTAACTGAAACAAATAAATGCAAACCATCCGAGGCGAATAATAGAACGGAGTTGCAAATGATATTTCATATATTGCTACTAAATATGGGACTACAGTATTTCAAAGAACCGGAAATGGCGCGCCTAGCTATAGAAGACATAATTGTATGCATGCACCGTCTTCAGGGTCAACAAAAATTTAGGATTGTTACAAAAAGTAACAAGGTTAGTGTTTTTATTATTACTATTCTTATTGTTAATAACTACTATGTTTGCTTCTTATAGGAAAATGAACCAAATTGGATAGAAGTAGTAATAGATTTATTTTTACACTTACTTTCACAAAACACGAGTGCGTTGAGAAATATTGTTAATCAGTTGTTTCCATTTTTCTGCGATAAGTTAACTTTAAACGCAATTCATCAAATTTTGTCCATGCTAGATATGAAAGATGGCCAAAATCCACTAAGTTTAAAAGATGAAGATATTGAAGATGTAGAAGAAGAGGATAGTGATAGAACAAAATCTGATAATGAATTGGATTCCAATAATGATGATACGGCTTCTGAAAGTTATGGACAAAGCGAAATTGATGAAAGCGAAGATATGGGCACTGGAGTAGATAAATTGAGAAACGCAATATCTATGGCACTTATTGAAACTGAAGCTGGTGGTGTTGACGATGATATGGAATCAGTTGATCTTAATGAACTATCAGAAGAGCAAGGAAGAAAGTTAGACGAAGCGTTAGCAAATGCATTTAAAATAAAGAAAAGCACAAGTAAAACACCATCTAAAAAGTCGAAAAGTTATCAGGTCAGGAACATCACTGTAATGCACTTCCGTATAAGAGTTCTTGATCTAATCGAGATATATATACAACAAAAGCCTTTATTATGTGTTTCTATTGAAATAATGCTTGCGTTATTTAATATGATGGAATATTGTATTGCTGAGGAGTTGAAACCTTTGCGAACAAAAGTTGAGAAAGTTTTAAACAAGCTGACTTCACTTAAAAGCTTCGCTATAGAATTGGAATTAAACCAGCACAATATAGTAGATTTTATTCGTCTTATTATAGAAAGAAGAACGCAAACATCAGCATTTGATATAATAAGTAAAATACGAAATAAATGTGTTATATTTCTTATAAACAACGCTTGTAAAGTAATGGATAATAATTCATTAGCTTTACTAAACTTATGTAATTCATACATTGAAGAATTCATAAAATCAAGAAATGCCTATATTAATGCAACATTACTTTCAGATATTTTTAGGTTGCGCTTAATAATGGTTTGGGAATTAGCTCAAACTTTGGCAGAGCTGGGTTTTTCACTAAAAACTCGCGTTTTTAGACGTATTCAAACATACGAAATTCTTTCAGTACTGTACAAAAATTGTAGCATACAAAACTGTGACATAGAAAGCGCTAAAAATTATTTTTGGCAAATTGATAAATTGCTTATTGATCACATAAAAACACTTGCTACTACTAAAAACATGAAATATTCTCTAAACGAATATCAAAAACTTTTGGAATTTTTATTACTGGCTAATAAAACTTATACACGTTTGCAGTTGAATAACACGTCATTAGCTTCGTTTGAAACAATCAATTTTGTACAAGACATAAGACGTCAGATTTACTTGGTATCGCTGCATACTTATCAGAGATATTGTACCACGCACAAAATTAAGGTAATACGAAATAATGAATTAAAACAGTTAATGTAACTATGAATCTTAACAATAAAAAATATAAGTAAAAAAATTACTTCGACATCAAAATAAAGAATCTACTCTTTGTGGGTATGCATATTAAAATATAAATATATGTATGGTTTATCAACACATCCTTCAAATTAGTGCTTCTTTTGTCTAGTATTTAATTTCATGCAGTCATGAAATTTTATAATTTCAGATAAATTTATTGAACATAAAATATATACAGTGGTTCGCAGCTTATTTGATGCAAACATTTTTTGAAGTTACATTTTTTCAAAATATTTTGCAAATTTAAAAAAAGAACAAAGTTATTATTTATAGTGTTTTATTTCATTTCCAAAAACAAAAACAGAAGAATATTCCATTTCTTAGTTATCCAATAAAAACCAAAAAAATAAAAAAGTCATATCACAGATATACAAATTAAATTTGTACAGAATTACGAACTATTTTTAAGAACTTAGTACTTTGCTGGATATTTCTTGTCAATAATAGCCTGAAGCGACTTCTTTTACTCCATTCTTTTTGTAAAGCGTTTTTTTAAGTCAGATTTGTTACGGATGTCGTGTTTTCTAATATTTCTCTTTAAAACGGACTACAAATTTTCGATAACGTTTAAGTCTAGTTATTGTGCAGGAGTTTGGACAATGTGTAGATATTGCAATATTAACAACTATTGTGCTTAATGTCGTTGTGCATCTGCAATCTTTAATTTCCGTTGCACTTTAAATTAAATTTTCTTCAAGATGCTTTAAATAAAAGTCTTTGTACATAGTGTCTTCGATGAAAACCAAATTTCCTGTTCATTTTGACGACACAGTGTTGTGAATAACAAAAGCAACCAAAAATAGTACATCAAATAAATTGTTTTTTTTGTCTACTTTTTACTTTTCATTTAAAAACTTGACCACTTAACTTAACTACTTAGCTACCATAAAAAAACAACAGAACCTTCAGTTCTTCATAATTCACAAAAATAACGAAATAATGCAAAATGCAGCTGTGCAAAATGATATGCTCAGTTGCTTTTGTTGTGCACAACACTACATTGCCCAAACTATTACCAAAGAAGACAAAGAAAAGAAACTGAGAGGAAATTTTGAATCATTGTGCCTCTTTGTGTAGTATCACAAACAAATGTCTTAAGGGATTTTTAACATCAAAAAACCAAAACAAACAGCAAAATTTCTCGAAATGTGCTCTTATTTTAGCAAGCATCGTGGTGAATAGGGACCGCGTGGGCAAAATAGCAAGACCTGGTGGGGAAAATGATTATGCGCTATTGTATAGCATTAGGCTTTTTGTTTTTGTACTGCGTGATATTTTCGCCTCATTACTCAAAATTTTGAATATTATTTGAATTATTCAGAAAATTTTATACACAATTTCTCAAGCAACTCTCAGTTTCTTTTCATTATCTTTGCTATTACATTACGAACGCTGTGCAACACGCAAATTTTGTGGTTTCAGCTCAGAATTGACTTTGCGCCATATGTATGATTTTCCATCTTATCCACATACAGTGACGAACAAAATTATTGGCACAGCAAGCAAATTGAACTTTAGCACTATTTTTATTCTATTAATAGCTGTGTTTCAGCAAACATGATCCGCTCAATTTTACATGCAAAACAAAAACAATGGGGTGAACCAGCAATTGATCTGGTTCACTTTCTGGTTCAATGTGGAATGTGTGTAAAAGATAAAAGTGGAACGTATTTTAATGCAAATGAGGTTGGCAATGCGATGCAACGGTGCAGTAAAATTATAAATAAATCTACATTTATATTTATTTATTATTGATTTTATTTATTTATTATTTATTTTATGTACTTATTTATTTAATATGTCGTTATTATTTATTTCTTTGTTTAAAATAATGTTTTAACTATTACTATAATTAAAATTATTACCTTATTTATTTACGTTTTATTATTATTGAAAAAGTGTTGTTTGATAATTTATTAAAATCAATTAATTTGAAATGAAATGAAATTAAGTTGAATACATTTATTTAATTAAAACAGAACAATACATAAGGATCCAGGCTCTCCAACATAAACGTTTATAAAAAAACCATTTTCATCGCAAACTATCTGCAAGATTAAGCTATAGTCATGCTTTCTTTTGAAATAAGCCTATTTGCTATGGTGTGGTGCATTTATTTTTACATGTGTACTGTCTATGCAACCAATTACGAACGGGATTTTTTTTGAAGTTTCCACTTTTGCATTATTAGCAAGTGCGTATTTAATAAATTAGTGTCCAATTGATATAAGCTAAACACTAGTTCTTTCAATTATCCTCCATACAGAAGCTCTTGGTATGCCAAAACAAATACCAATTTCGCGAAAAGTATTTATATTTGCCATATACCACAAAAATATGTAAATTTCCTTCATTGCTCTCGTTCAATTGTGACCACCACGGTTATTTTGTATTTGCTGATTGGAATTTATAAACAAATCTATTCAATTATAAAATATAATTAATAAATAGCAATTGTATTTTTATTTGTATAAATAATTAGTAGTACATCTTTGAAGTCTAAAGTTTTTCCTGAAGTCTTCAATGGAAAAATTATTGATCGTTTCCATAAAATTTCCACTATATCCATGCTAATGCTTTTCATCCCTTGAGCTTAATACACTTGGACTAGTGTTTAAAAAGAAAATGGAGGAGTCAGTTTTGCTCGATAATTCTAATAAAATCTGCAATTTCCATTGATTTACTATAAATCTATATTTACTATAAATTTAAATTTTTAAGTAAATACTAAATAAAAACTTACATTTCGTACTTCAGACTTATTTTTTTAGCGCCAAAATTATTCACACAAATCAAAAAATTTTGTACACAAACCCAACTGTCATATTTCATGCGTTGCCAATTATTTTCAAACGTGATCCGTATCGTTTCAGCAAAGATGATTCAGATCATTGAGCGGATCATGTTTGCTGAAACGCAGCTAATGATGCGATTTTTAATAAACAAAAAATTTTTTTAGATAAAATGCTTCCTTTGCTTTTAAATTCACTTCATTTCATTTTATTTTCTCTTAAATATAATTTTTTAAAATTAAAAAACCAAAAAAAGAACTAAATTTAGCTAAACAAAATTATTGGCACAGTTGACGTAAAAATTAAAAAACAAATTTAAAAAAAATATTTTCGATAACAATTAATATTTAGTGGCCAAGCTTTTCTATTTAATAATGATAATAATATTAATAATATTTAATAATAGCTACTATTTGTTTTGGAATCGAAAAAATCAATTTTTGAGTGGTTTTTGGTCCAAAATTTTGCCACTCTTCAGCAGTGCCACCTTCAATTCTGCCATTGTTAGTACTACGGTAAGTGGAAGATTAATCTCAATTCCACAAAGATTTCTACAATACCCCTTGTTGTACAACGTGCTGATCGATATTTAATTATTTTCCTTTTCTAATATTACTTGTTTATTCTTCTCAAATATTGGAACTGGTATTACCTGATAGGTATCATAAATGTCCTTTTTGACAAATGGAACTAGAACTATTACAACTATAACCTTCTTGCGTTCAAAAGCTTTAATTTTAGAATACTTTATAATTTGGCTGTATGATTCCAAACTGGGTGTATATAAAAATTTTGGTTCATTTTTACTTTTCAGTAATATATCAATAAATTTTTCTGAACTCAATAACATTGGGTGTATTAATTTTAGTTGTATGAATAAAATGATATCAATTAGCTTTTCTAAGTCAAATTCAAGATCTAAACAACTGCTTACTATTTTTAATTCCATTTCTTGCATGTATTCAAATATAGCCATATTTTTACTATTTTCATTAACTGTTCCTATTAATGAGTTAAGTTTATTTATGAAGTTATTGGAGATGTGCTGTATATCTTCGAAACTTTTCTTTATGTTTAAGTTTTGTTCATTTAAATTTTGAATAATTTTAATTTCTTGCTTTAATCCTGTTTTTATAAACTCTTCATTATTATTTATATCCGTTATCACCTTATTATAATATTCAGCATCGTCACTATCCATAGTATCAAATAAAACTTTAAGCCCTGATCCTATTATATTTAATATTCCTCTCTTGTTTCTATTTCCCTTCAAACTGGACTTAATTCCAAGCATATTATGTACTACATTTATTTTTTTTTTAAATTTTTAAAATGCTGTTTTCCAAAAACAATGATCTCTTCACATTCGTGATAGGAATCTATGCAAGTTTTATCTACATGATCTACTTTACTCCCAAGCCAATTAATTTTATCTTCATAAGAAGTTAGATTTACATTAGTAATTATGGATATGTGACCGTCCACGATTCTGGTTTCCTGTACTTTCTTGAAATAGAAGCTTCCTTTCCCATTAATATCCTCGATTTTAAGAGCGAATATAGCTAGAAAAAAGCTGAACAGTTTAAACAAAATTAGTTTTCAATATATCTTTTAATTAGATTTTTTGAAATTTTTCTTGTTCTACGATTTGTTCTTATAAAGACATTAGCTTCGGTGACTTTCACAATGGTATATGGACCAGTAAAAGTATTTTCTAACTTTTTATTTTTTGTAAGATTTTTCACAACTATCTTTTGACCTACTTCATAATTAGGTGTATCTGTTATCTTTTTATCATAGATTAATTTTGACTTTTCCTTACAAACTGTTGTATTTTCTTTTACTTGCTTTTCAATGTTCTCTATGATAACTTTTATATTATTGACATATCCCCCTATAGTTACTAAATCTAAAGCGTCAATTCCACTCGGTCTATTTCCTTTCCTTCCAAAAACTATTGAATAAAAATTCACATAATTTCATGTTATTATTATAAGAATATTTTTCAAAATTAACTACTATATCACAATTTTATTTTTTATTCAGTAAAATACTATAAATTTGTTTCTAATTTTGTTTTTAAATTTTAATTTTTTACATGTAAAGATATTATATAATATTTATAATTAGCCAGTACAATTATCTAGTCCCAGATTTTAATATCATATTGAACATTTTTTTAGTATATTATTCAAAAGAAACAATTTATTTTATATAAATATTATTCATTATGTACGCAAATAATATATATTG